GTGTTTGCGTGTGTGTACTGGTGGAGTGGGGGGTGAAACATCTACCCATAATGTCAGTACACATCAGTACCGATGATTGCCGAACGATGGCTTGGATTACAATACAACTGGACGGCCCTACAGCGCACGAATGTGCTGAGATGTCATCACTGACTTCTAATACAACTTCTTGAATAGGTGACGGGAGTCCTACATAGGTCATAAATTCAAAATATGAATACAAAGTACCATTTCACAAATTATGAGTGGTTGTCACAATACAATAGCACGTGTGCTCTCAATGGATAGTGCTAATCGTCAAAGACAGTAAAGGTGAGGCACATAGAGTCTTACTTGTTTGTCTATAGTTTTATACATTCATTTGTAGTTCGATTGCGCGGTATGGGTGCTATATTGAGATAGCCTTGAAGTGGATAATACCATAACCCGGCAACGACTCAGAGCTTCCGTTTTCGCTTCAGTCGCTTCCATGATTCGCTCTCGTAGTCCATTTCGAATACAATTTGTTCCAGGAACATATGGTCATTGTAGGCCACCTGTTCTTCATTCATGACCACACTCACCTTGGACCCTATCTCAGGGTTAGGATTGCCTGCAATAACCAGAGTTCGGAGCGAAATGAGTGCAATTGATCTGAGCGAGAAGTTTGCGCTTAACTACCAAAGTACTGATGGGAGGACAACGCTCCGTTTCTCCCTGGTGGGACGTGCATAGCGCATTTTGCAAACAACTACTAACAGCCACAACAAACACCACATACGCATATCTCCAGTGACGAAGCGTGAAATCCGATCTCGGTCATTCTTTTGCAGCCGATTGGTCTGTACCAAAATGCCGTCCAGCGTTGCTTGATTGTCCGACCTCTCTTGATCGTGCTGTTGCTGTTGATGTTGCTGCTGTTGGTGCAGCTGTTGTTGTTGCTGTTGCTGTAGCAACTGCTGTTGCTGCTGCTGTTGTTGATACTGTTGTTGGTCGTAGTGTTGTTGCTGCTGCTGGCTCATCCGGTGCGATGGTGGTGCTTCGTACCCGTACTGACCGCCGTGTATATTGAATTGCTGCTGCATTTGGGGCTGAGTCGGTTGTTGCCGCAGTTGTTGTGGGTGCTGTGGTTGTGTATGCTGACGTTGTAAATGCTGTTGTTGCTGTATATGTGATATAGGTTGCTGCTGCGGCTGTGGCAGATGCGGCTGCTGTTGGAGCGGATGCGTTGGTGTCTGATGCAAACGTCCAGGTTGTACTGCTTGCTGCTGTTGATGCTGTTGTGCTGGTGGGGGCGGGGCAAACTGTGGATCGGACGGTTGGCTGTACTTCTGTGACAGCTTTTGCTGCTGACTATACTGAGCTTGTCGCTGTGCGTCTAGGAAGGATTGGATCCTCATCAACTCCGACCGGACTAATTGCACTCGCCCGGACAAGAACTGGAATACGCTGGTGTCCTTCGCATACTCCGCTTGTGTGAGGTTTCCACTGTTCATGCGACGCTGTACCTCGCGCAGTTGTCCAGCAATCTTCGCGCCCTCTTTCTGATAGTCGGCTTCCTGGGCAAGCATAGCCTGCATGTCAGAAGCATCGAGGTAGCAATCAACAAACGCGATTAATATATCAATTGAGAACGAGAATGTGATCCCAGTTAAAGAGAAGAAAAATCGATATTCGTGCGTGCATCAACGAAACGGAGGGGTACGGGTCGAAAAAATATAGAATTCCCTTATTTACCATTTGTTGTTCGTGGACCTGCGTCGGCGGAGGTGGGGGTTGTTCGCCATTATACTGCACACTGTTGCGATAATTCGGCACCAACTGTTGCGACGGCCCGGGCGAAAGCTGTGGGTGTTGTTGCTGTTGTTTCTCTGACTGCAGCTGCTGCTGAGAGTGTTGTTGTTGCAGTTGTTGGGGCTGTGGTGGCTGAGTATGTTGCTTTTGCTGCAGTTGCGGCTGTGGTGGCTGCGTGCGTTGTTGTTGCAATTGTTGGGGCTGTGGTGGCTGCGTATGTTGTTTTTGCTGCAGTTGCGGCTGTGTCTGTTGCGGTTTTAACCGCTGAGGCGGTGGTTGCTGTTGCTGCTGCTGTCGGTGCATTACCTTTTGTCTCTGCTGCTGTTGCTGCTGTACCTGTTGTTGTTGCTGTCGTTGGGGTGACGCCAACTGCGCCGGGTACACCCCGCCCACACCTGCAACCGTACTGTGCTGAGCAGCGAGCACGTGCGCATCTGGCCCGTGCCCATTGGCACTCACCACAGGCATAGGCGGCGCAGGCGGTGGCCACGTCTCGTACCCCGAAGCAGTGCGAGCCAGTTCGGTACTCTGCATCCCCCCGTGTCCCATGGGGCCATTCACATCTACCTCCACGCCGAGGTCCACTCCGTCGATACCCAGATCCATACTGCCCATATCCGCATCAGCGACAGCACCAGGCGTGCCTTCAAGAGACTGCTGAGATGGCGGTGCCACCTGCGCCTGCTGTTGTTTGGTACCTCCTCTACCGTCTTGCGCTACCACGGCCTTAGTAGCGGTATTGGTAGGAACAACTTCGTGTCCACCACTGGCCCTCCTTTCCTTGTCCTTTTTGGGTTTCTTGGGTGTCGCCTTCTTCGACGCACTGTCACCCGCAGTCCCCTCGGCCGGGTGGACTCGACTAGTCGACATCTTGCGGCTCTTCCTGCCGTCTTTGACCCCCTTCTCGCCCGTATCCTTCTTATTGCGTCCACTGCCCGCATCCGCATCGCCCTCCACAGTGTTCTTGAGCTTCTTCTTCTGGTTCTCCTTTTTCTCCTTCGCCACAGCCGCCGCCTCAGTCTCGGCGGCCCTTTCGCGCTCTTTTCCCCTGAGCTTCTCTTTGGCTGCTCTCTCTGTCTCGGCCTTTTCTCTCTTCTTGTTCTCGACTTCAATCTTCGCCAGCGCCGATGCCTCCTCGGCCTTGCGCTCAATCGATTTCTGTCGCTCGAGGCGTTTCTGTTCCTTTACCTTCACCTTTCGCTCCTTTTCTTCCTCCAGCAACCGTTGTTTCGCAAGCCGTTTTCTAACGCGTTCTTGCTCTTCCGCTACCAGTTCTTGCTCCGTCTTCTTCCGCTTCACCGACGTGGCCACCAGATTTAAACTCTCACTGTTGTCCAGCATGACAGCACTCTTCTTATTCACCACATACTTCTTCCCCGTGTTGTGTAGCGTTGCCGCGCTCGAGCGTCTTGCGAGGGCATTGGATCCACTCGAATTGGGTCGGCTGTGCGATGAATTGTTCAACTGACTGAACATAGAGTTCCGTGGGAGGCCCACACCACCGCCGATTTTGCGCTCGCGATTGGGATTGGCCGTCATGCTGGGTTTGCGCCTCTGTAGTGATCTCTGGCTCGCCTGTGTAGTGTAAAATGAAATAGCAAAGTACAGAAAGGTAAACGACAGCCTAAGTGGCGACAACGTGTACTGCTAGAGTACCTGCTTGCACAACCAGACATTCTGCTATACGGCGAGCACTCCATTCACTTTAAAACTGGCCATGCGCGCCTTACCTTCTCCACTGCGGCATTCAGAAAGTCTCGGAGCTTGTCGGCCTTAGTCGGCCCACGAACAGTGAAGTGGGGGTTTTTCGCTGGTTTCATAGGCTGCGCCTCGTCGGAGATGTCCAGATATTGCTGCTCCAAGGGCAAGAGTGCAGTGCTGCTTTTACTCACTGTGTGTTAGCGTGGCGAAATACAAGTGTCAAAATCCTGAATACGCACCATCAACGAGAGAGAAATATAGTAGCCGCAACATCTTTAAGAATTACACACAGCGAAGAATACCAATTCTTCACATATAAAATGGTCGTACATTGTTCTACTATATCCTTGTAGGCAACGAACAGGCCATTGTCATCCTCCTCGAAGTCGTAGCTCAGGCACCTATCGCTGACGTAGATCTTCATCAGCGATACCACACAAACCACCTGCAGGTAAGATGTAGGTGAAGATGAGCAGCTATAGCTCCAAAAGTTCTGTGAGAGCGACAACCCTTTCGTTAGTATGAATCCTAAGCTACACGGAGTCGTCGTTGTTGTGCAGTTGCTTTTTGGTCACTATGTTAGCCGGAAGCTCGATAATGTGCGCTCGAACGCTCAGTAGAACACTGCGAGACGATATTGCTTTTACGTGACTCCAAAGCTGGTCTGAACGTATCGAATGCGCTTCTTGAGAAGAAAAGACCGACAATGAGGTATAGGGGTACACGATGAAAACATGGACCAACAGGGAGCAAGCTAAGTTTGAAAATAGAGTACGGTAATCAGAGTTTGAGATGATGACACAGGCCACGCGTGATGTATTGCACATACCCATGCATCATCATCCTGCTGTGCGGCCTCTAGAAGTAAAGTGAGCTGTTGCTTCAGATCCGTCAGTGGTTTCTTACGCATGTGGAGGACCGCTGAAGAGCAAAGAAAGCCGATAAATCGACAGAAGATCATCGGGTCAATAAATGTATCAAACGAGCCATGCTAGAACGTTTGTAATTTCATACGTTCAACTATTTTTCATCTTAGTGCGAACCCAGATAAAGTATAATAAGAAGTAATACATACACAGAGTACAATGTAACACGATTAAACTTTCGTCATTCAGCTTCTACATATAGAGTTAAGCTATCGTACGCAAAAAAACATACAAGCGTTTGACAACGACACAAACACCACATCTATCCAATTGTGTATAAAAGCTCCAATAAATGCGCATAATAATACATCGAAGAAATGCATAGATTAATAAAT